TGACGCATGTTTGCAACAGATGGCACTAGTTCATTTTTGGAAGTACTAGAGTCATTCGCATCTATGTTATTGCTATGTCATTTGACAGCTGACAGTTCTAACTTCATTCTAAAAAAAATTGAGCGATTTGTTTGAGTTTTGGAGATTTTACAACAAGCTGAAGATGGAAGACCAAACTGTGCATTTGTGCCATATTTTACTGTTTTACTTCCATAAAGGGAAGAACGCATGTCAAGCTTGTGAAAAGTCGCATAAAGTTTATGGTGACAATGCTCTATAAGAATGTCAGTGCCAACGATGGTTCATGAAATTCCATGCTGGTGAATTTGACCTCACGATACTCCTCGGTCAGGGAGGCCTACCGAGGTTGATGACGACAAAATAAAGGCATTGATCGAGTCAAACCCACGTTACACGACACGAGAGATTGCAGAAACATTGAGCATCCATTATTCAAGTGTTCATGACTACCTAAGAAGCTGGGATATGTAAGCAAGCTTGATATTTGGGTTCCTCATGAACTCAAAGAAGTTCATTTGACGGTGCATATAATCATCTGCAATATGCTCATTAAATGTGAGGAAAATAATCCTTTTTTGAAGCGACTGATAACTGGTGGTGAGAAGTGGACTGTTTACAACAATGTGGTGCGCAAACGGTCTTGGTCCCGACGTGATGATTCGCCTCAAACGATATGGAAAGCAGACATTCATCAGAGGAAGGTTATGCTCTCAGCGTGGTGGGATTTTAAAGGTGTCGTGTTTTTCGAGCTCCTACCAGGGAGCCAAACAATCAATTTAAATGTGTACTGTCGGCAATTGGACAGTTTGAACGAATCCATCATCCAGAAACGCCCAGAGCTTGTTAAATGTAAAGGAGTTGTGTTCCATCCCAACAACGTGAGACCACACACAGGTGATCACCCGTCAAAAATTATTGGAGCTTGGATGGGATATGTTGCCACACCCACTATACTCGCCTGACCTTGCACCATCAGACTTCCACTTGTTTCTTTCTCTTCAAAACTCCTTGTGTGGTATAACATTCAATTCAGATGAGGCTGTAAATCAGCATCTTGTTCAGTTTTTTGCAAATAAAGACAGATCCTTCTATGAATGAGGAATTATGAAGCTCACTGAAAGATGGCAAAAGGTTATTGAACAAAATGGGCAATATATCATTGATTGATCTTTGTTCTTTATATAAATAAATGACCTTTGAAAAACACAGACAAAATAGGTCATGACTTTTCCGACAACCCAATGTATGTATATATATGTATGTATATATGTGTGTGTACACAGAATGAGGCACAGTTACAAGTGATACGAAACACAGACTAGAGTATATTTTTTTTCTGATTTTTTTTTATGTATGATTTATTGTAAAATGATTGGGTTGTCAGAAAAGTCATGACGTATTTTTTCTATGTTTTTTGTTGCAAAAAGGCATCATGACTTTTCCGACAACCTATTATCTGCTGGATTATCATTTGGATTATTGAATTTTTCAGTTCCAGAATTTTCATTTAGGGTTTTTAAAAAAAATAGTGTTTAAATTTTCTGCTGAAATTCTCAAGTTCATTTTTTATTTTCCTGAAAATACTAAACATTATTAAAATTTCATTATTGCAGATGCCTGATGGATCTCTTTCTGTTGGCTGGTTTTTTTATTTATTTGGTTTTCAGTCATATTGTCTTGTCTTTCTCTATGCTTGGTTATTTTTGTTTGAGTGCCACATATTATGAAAAATTATAATTTGAACTTTGCAACAGTATCACCTTCTTCCAGAGAGGACTAAAATGTACTCTGGCAGGCAGCAAAGGTCAGTAGCAATCCCAGATCACTTTAAATAAATCTGGGAATGAGATTCTTTGCATTTGGCCTTCAGTGCTTACAAGGGCTGGTCTGTTTAGAGTTGGTTCCTCCTTACTCTTAGGATGAAAACCCAGTACAAAACCTAGAGAGTTTCTCAACAATCTCTACCATGGGAGGCCATGGTTTTCAATATTGGCCTCTTAGCCCCTCAAATCTGTTCAAAGCTTTGTTTAACTTTTTAGCTTCTCAGCCTCTTCTACCAGAATCAGTAGATCCTCGAGGGGGAATAGTCGCTCCACCTGCTTAGTTCAACTCTTTGGGTTTCCCTCTTCTCCCAGATACAGGCATACCTACAACATATTGGGGTTTGGTTCCAGACCACCACCATAAAGCAAATAGCATAATAAAGTGATCGTTTGGTTTCCTGGTGCATATAGAAGTTATGTTTACACTATACTCTAGCCTATTAAGTGTGCAATAGCACATGTTTCAAAAAACGTACATACAGGGGCGGCTGAGTGGTGCGTTGGTTAAGAGTTGGCTTGGGACACCAGCTCTGAGCAGCAGGACCCCGGTTCGGATCCCACATTAGGGCCGTGACACTGTGCCCTCTACAGCTAAGATGGTGAACAACAGCTCAACCTGGAGCTGGGCTGCCGTGAGTCGCCGGTGACGGCGTAGGCTGCAGTGAAGTTGCAGTGGGTTGCCATGAGCTACTGTGAGTGGCTGGCAGACAGCATGAGCTGCTAAGAGCCACTGTGAGCAGCTGTCCAGTGGCTGGTGACTGATCTGCCTCACCTGGGAAGAATGCAATGATAATACCAACGTGGGCCAGTGAAGTGACTTCCTCCACAACTAAACTGAAGAACAAAAGGACAGCCACTTGTCTGTTCCCCTTCCCCGAATTCCCCAATGCTGTTCCCCTCCCCCAATTCCCCAATAAAATCTTTAAAACAAAACAAAGCAAAAAATGTACATACATAATTAGAATAGACTTCATTGCTAAAAAATGCTAACTACTATCTGAGCCTTCAGTGAGTCCTAATCTTTCTGCTGGTGGAGGGTCTCACCTGGATGTTGATGGCTGCTTGATCAGGGCGGTGGCTGCTGAAAGTTGGGGTGGCTGCGGCAGTTTCTCAGAATACAACAACAATGAATTTTGCTGCATCGATCGACTTCCTTTCATGAACGATTTCTCTGTAGCATGTGATGCTGTTTGATAGCATTTTACCCACAGTAGGACTTCTTTCAAAGCTGGGGTCAATCTTCTCAAACCCTACCAACTGCTTTATCAACTAGGTTTATGTAGTACTTCTAAATCCCTTGTTATTTCAACAATCTTCACAGCATCTTCACCAGGAGTAGAAACCACATTCTTTGCTCATCCATAAGAGGCAGCTCCTCATCCATTAAAGTTTATCATGAGATGGCAGTAATTCAGTCCCATCTTCAGGTGCCCCTTCTTTTTCTAGTTCTCCTGCTTGTTTCCACCCCATCTGCACTGACTTCCTCCGCTGAAGTTGTGAACCCCTCAGTCATCCATGAGGGCTGGAATCCACTTCTCCAAACTCCTGTGAATATTGACATTTTGACCTCTTCCCATGAATCACCAGTGTTCTTAATGGAATCTAGAATGAGGAATCCCTTGCAGAACATTTTCAGTTTGCTTGATGTAGGGTTGCTGCAAACCTTCAATTTGTAAAGTATGCAATATCTGTGAAGTACAGTAAAGTAAAGTACAGTAGAATGAGGCATGCCTGTCTCTGTTTCGGCCCTGCTGTCAGTTCTTTTGGGTATAAACCAGAAGCGGAATTGCTGGATCATATGGTAACTCTGTGTTTATGGTTTTTTGTTTTTTGTTTTTTTGTTTTTTTTAGCTGAGCCATCCTGCTACCTGTTGGCAGCTCAGCGACTGCTCAGCTTAGGCTGGACTCGAACCGCTGTTGCTCAGAGCTCACACTCTTGAGCGAGCTCTTAACCAACTGAGCCACTAGGCCGGCCCTTGTGTTTATCTTTTTGAGGAAACACCCTCCCGTTTTCTTAGTGGCTGCACCAGTTTACATTCCCACCAGCAGTGCACAGGAGTTCCCATTTCTCCATGTCCTTACCAACGCTAGTTACTTTATTTTGTTTTTTTACATTAGCCATTCTAAGAGGTGTTAAGTGGTTTTTAAAAAATAGTTGATCTAGCTTTTCTAGTTCTCAGCAAGAGGGTAGATCCAGAAGTGAAACTCTAACTTATTTTTGCACCTGGCACAGTGCTATATACACAGTGGGTACTGGATAAATAGGTAGAAAGGAGGAGAGAAGGTAAAGAAAGTGTTCTGAAAACTCAGGTTATTTACAAATATAAGATATGAGTTGTAGAGAGCATAGAATAAGGGATAAGTCTTGGCTTCTGAAGTTCGAATGACCTGCATTTGAAGAAGTGTGACTTTCGGCAAGTTATTTTACCTCTATTGAATAAAGATACTATTTACTTATAGAATTTCATTTTATGAAAAGCAGATTACTAGACTACGACTCAAAAACATGTGTATTTGTCCAGGAGCTGGTAAAAAAAGGACAATAACAATATCTTCTTTACAAAGATGAATTGTCTGTTGTAAGAATAACCTGATATGATGCAAAGAAAAGTTTCTGACATTTAGTAAGTGCCCAGTAAATTTTAGCCATTGTTTTCTGCAGTTGTGATTTTTGTTGGCTTTTTGAACCAAACATACCATTGCATTTGCTGATTGAAGTCCCAAGTCTAAGGTTAACTTGTCCTTTCCCAAAGACATTTCTTACTCCCTCAGTGGTATCTGTGTGGCAGGTTTCCATTGCAAACTGTATTTGCTTGCAGAAAAATAGAGCATTGCCTCTGTCATCACTTACTGCTCATTTGGTTTTCTTGTTCTGCTAGGACTCTGGTTAGGAGTAGAATGGGACAATCCCGAGAGAGGAAAGCATGATGGAAGCCACGAAGGGACCGTGTATTTTAAATGCAGGTAATTTTTCATTATGAATTGGCATGGCTGCTTAGGATGATATTTAATATCATGTCATATTCAAGTAGTTGAATAACGGGGGATAGAAAACAAAAAGTGTTTTGCTCTTGGGGTAGTTATAATATAGAATTTGGTGTATTCTAAAAAAACTTCTATTTGTAGATAGGGTTTTTTCCATGTTTTTAAAACTGACTCCTAACCTTACAAGTAGGATTGCTTTCTTTGTCCTTTTTTGGGTTTTTGTTTTCTTGTATTAGATGAATATAAACCTTCTCATTGATTCCTTAACAATTTACAATCTAATGAGTGCTAGAAAAGAGAAATAGACTAGATATCCAATAAGAAACAGTTGATTAAGTAAAACACAGAACATCCAAATAGTAGAATGCTAGGCCACTATTTAAAAAAGCTCTTGTCATGGAAGAATTAACATGTTGCATATCTACTAGTATTTTTAACTGCTTGATTTTCAAGAAACTACATGAAGCTGTGAAAAGGATGGTGGGAAATTTCAGGCAGAGTCTGTTTTTTAAATTGTTGTTTGTTTTCCTTAGATTTTAGTTCCTCCAAAGGATTTCTTAATATGAAGTTTATTTTCTTTAATGTGGTTCAGTGAACACAGTCCTGGCCTGTGTCCTCTAACTCTGCTTTTAATAACTTTATAACCCCGGACAAGACTAAATTGACTAACCTCTAAAATGAAGGTCAAAATTAGATAATAGCAAAATGTGTTTCCTAGTGCACCATTCTGTAATATTAGAAAGTCAGGGTAGAAGAAAAGTCAGCTAGTTCCTGGAGGCCAGCTGTGATGGCAGACATGGAATGGGGCCTGCTCAGTACCTGTCCAGAGTTCATGGAGGAGGACGGTGTGGAAAAAGGAATTTCTTATCCTGGCCTGTTGATCCCTTACCCACCTGGCTGGCCCATGATGTCACAAACCTTCAGTATTGGGCCTTTTTCTGTGGAGTCTGTCCCAGCACACTTCCCTCTTCTAAAAGCTTCCCCAAATTGTTCAGGATTACATGGTGCTTAGTGGTCTCTGGATATGGTGATATATTCAGCTTTAGTTACTCTGAGTAGAAAAACCACGACTTGCTTCAGTGATGGCAGATCTAGGATTTGCCCTGAAGTGTTGATGGGAGGCTGAAGTCAGCGGGGTCAACTCTGGATTCCTCCCCTTGCAGTACGGGGTCAACTCTGGATTCCTCCCCTTGCAGTAAGCATCTCCTTACTTCAGTCTGCCTTCCAGTGTAGTCATGCCTGAGCAGTGACATATTGAAATACGTATCTTACTATCGATTACATTTGTTTCATTGAAATGGGACTTTTGTTGACTTGAAAATCCGGTATGGGTAGGTAATGTTATCTGTGAATTCCATTGCAGGATATTTCGGGGGTAGTGTAAAAGGGAGCGTTGGGTCTGGCAGAGAGCCACTGGTCTAGATGATGGGAATTACCTCGTCCTTTATGGCTGTTAGTGCTCATATTGGTATTAACTATTGGGCCGTCGGAAAAGTCATGACGCATTTTTGCAACAAAAATCATGGAAAAATACGTCATGACTTTTCCGACGACCCAATAGAACATGACTTCAACTAGTTCATTTTATATCGTATCTTAGAATCTCTAAATCAGATAAAGCAAATTTATATGACATGCATATTTTAAGCTAAGTCAGATCTCTTACTAATGTTATACACACTTCTTCCCTTTTAAGAAAATTCATTGGAGTCTTTTTTTATATGTCAAATTTTACTTGGAAAGGCATAAAAACAAGATAAGTATTTCAGCACAGTAAACATTTTCTTTGTGTTTAGAGGCTATTTTCATGAAGCCAATAGAACATGACTTCAACTAGTTCATTTTATATCGTATCTTAGAATCTCTAAATCAGATAAAGCAAATTTATATGACATGCATTTTTTTAAGCTAAGTCAGATTTCTTACTAATGTTATACACACTTCTTCCCTTTTAAGAAAATTCATTGGAGTCTTTTTTTATATGTCAAATTTTACTTGGAAAGGCATAAAAACAAGATAAGTATTTCAGCACAGTAAACATTTTTTTGTGTGTTTAGAGGCTATTTTCATGAAGCCAAAGCAATTTAAAGCTGTCAGGACACAAATTTTTTCATCATGTACTTGTGAAATAGGTAAATGGCAAAGTGATATACCCATTTTAAATAAGAAAAATATGAATCAAAAGTCACATTATAGCCGAACTTGGACCCCCATCTTTTTAGAAGTGTGTGCTAATATCAGCTGACCGATAGTTTGTTAGATGTATAACTAACAGTGTGGTTGGCTATGTGATTTGGCTCATCAATCTTATGGAAGCGAGTTTGCCTCATCCCTTATAAAAGACTCAGGATGTGCTGAGTGGGATGCTTGGTGAGCTCAGCTTCCTGAGTCTGCAGCAGCTCAGGTTGCTCAGAGTAACCTCTGCTGCTCAGGGTTAGGTCCTGCTGTCAGGACAAAACTGTGGTTTTCGGGGCCCAGCTCATGGCATGCGTTCTTCCCAGTGTATTTCCCCAACCAGTTCAGCTCAGGTTGACCTCATGAGAGTCCAGGTTAGAACATAATAACATTTGCAAGGGTCTAACCTCTGCTTTAACAATGACCTTAGAGAAGAAGGATGGGCTTTAACCTAGGGGTTAAAACATTTTTACAGTTAGCGTGCAGTGTTTCCATATTTTATCCCTCTTGTTACTTATTCTGATTTTTTTTTTTAAGATTTTATTGGGGAATTGGGGGAGGGGAACAGCGCTGGAGAATCGGGGAAGGGGAACAGACAAGTTGCTGTCCTTTTGTTCTTCAGTCTAGTTGTGGAAGACGTTGCTTCACTGGCCCATGTTGGTATTATCATTGTGCTCTGCCGAATGAGGCAGATCAGTCACCGGCCACCGGACTGCTGCTCACGGTGGCTGTTGGCAGCTCACACTGGCTGCCAGCCACTCACGGTAGCTTATGACAGCCCACTGCAGCAGGGGTTGCAGCCTCCGCCATCGCTGGTGACTCATGGCAGCCCAGCTCCAGGTCGAGCTGTTGTTCACCATCTTAGATGTAGAGGGCAGCATCACTGGCCCTCATGTGGGACCCAAACCGGGGCCTGCTGCTCAGAGCTGGCGTCTCAAGCCAGCTCTTAAGCAACGCTCCACTTGGCTGGCCCTTATTCTGATTATTTGCAGTGATTGTAACAGGTGTTATTACCATCTTTCATTGATGGCCATATATAGTAATGGGTTACTAGTTTAACATGAAAAACTGGAGTTGAGCTGAAATCCTGGCTGTGGACTCCTCTTCATTGTAGGTCTCTAAACATGGGGAAGATTTTTTTTTTTCTTGAATCGTTGGTGTGACACTGTCAGAGTGGGACTAGGAGTGGACCAGGTTTATAACGGAAGGAAATGCTGAGTCTTGATTAGAGGTTAGTTAAAATAATGATTTTCCTCATCTGTTTCAGTTAGCTCTTGATGCATGGCCAACTACCCCAAAACGCGGGGCTTCACACAAACATTTCATGGCCGGTGATTCTGTGTCTCAGGGATGTGGACAGGGCTTAGTGGACATGGTTGTCTGTCCCGAGTGATGTTGGCTAGAGGGTCCACAATGGCCTTTGCAAACTGGGGACTTGGTATTGGTTGTTGACTGGGGGACCTTGAGTCGCCTCTAAATGGGTTCAGTCTCTCTCTTCACATGGCCTGTCACTGTGTCTAGCGTGAGCTTATACAGTGTCTGGTTTCCAAGAGGGTGAAAATGGAGACTGAGAGCCTCTTAATTCTCAGGCTTCCCTCTGTCAGCAGAAGCAAGTCACTGGATGAGTCCACACTCAAGAGGAGGTGGAGAGACTTGACCCTTTGATGGGACAAGTGGCAAAGTCACATTGTCAAAGGGCATGAGAGTCCCCTGTGGAAATACTCTACCACAGTTCACCTGCTGGTCACCACAGTTCACACCCCTTCCCCACGCAGAAGTCACTTCGCACCTTCCAGGGTCTTGCCTTGACCGGAAGTCCCGGTGGTACCGTCTGAATTCTCCAGATACCAGGAGGCTCCCTGGGTGCAGACGCTTGGCAGGCGCTCCTTGCTCTGGAGACCTGCGGAGTCAGGCGCCCCCTCACACCTGCCTACAGTGATGAGAGGACAGAATGGCTGCGGGAGACATTCCTGTTTGGAAAGGTCGAGGAGGAGGGCGCGTAGTAGTCACTGATGTCTACGCATCCCAGCCCTGCCTGGTACGTTACTGTGAGTCACGAGTGTTCCCTACTTAGGGCCCATTTCTGCTTCCTAGAAGCACCTTCCCAGTAAACCCCGGAGTCCTAGACAACCCTGTTTTCAGTTGTGATTTTTGTAATATGAAAGCATGTGTTGTTCTTGGCACCCAGTTTCTCAGAAATGTTGAGTTGTGTAACATTGCTTTCTCAGTAGGCGCTGCTCCCATACGGCTGAAAACGTTGGTGTTTAATACATCTTTTTACTTGTGCATGAATGTTGAGAGATGAAAAACTCAGAAGTTAATGAGATTCTGGAAGCTTTTGCTCCCAATTTTTAAAATGCTAACCTTTAACCTCATTTATGATATAATCTCCTGTTTTGCCCATCCACATTTCTTAATCTGTGTTTGGAAGTAGTTAAGATTTGGTTGTCTCTACTGTGCAGGTTTGGTCTGCATGAATCCAGACCTCAAATTCTATAGCGGGGATGCTAAGACCTTGCTCTTTCCTTCCCCTAGGCTGGGTCACACTGCGTCCTTTGAACCACAGTCAGCATGTGGCAGAGGGTGTCCTTGGCATTTCCCCAGAACTCAGCAGTATCGTGTACTTGGAGGCAAAACCACTAGGCCTAGATGGTTAGATGGACACACCCAGCCTTGTTTCATGTGGCAGGTTTTTCCTGGGAGGGGTAAGCGTGTTAGATTATCACCGGAGATGGCTGCCAGTAATTCTTGTTGTTCTTGTTCAGGTATGTGGCTCCTCCCATCAAGAGGTCTTGGAGGCTGGTCCCCTTCCCTTGACTCTAGGTGGCCTGTGACTGGCTTTGACCAGTGGCAGAAGTGGTATTGTGTTAGTTCTGGGACTGGGCTTTAAGAGACTGTGCAGTTTCTGTTTTCACTCTCTTGGAAACCCATCACTGCATAGTCTAAATACCCTGCTGGGAAGAGGTCCAGTAGCCCGGGCCCGCCCAGTGGGCAGGAACCTTGGAAGGTCCAGCCTCAGGCAGCTCCCAGCTGAATGCAGTCACATGGTGCCCCCAGCAGAAGGACAGCTCGGCCAAGCTCACCCACAGAATTATGAGGAATACAGCATTGTTTTAAGCCACTACACTTAGGGGTGGTTTTTAGGTAGCAGCAGACATGTGGAACAAATACCAGCTTTATGCCTGAGGCTGTGTGTGAATTTACCTTGCATGTGTTTATAACCATATTTTCTCTTAGCAAAATTGTACTTAGTTCAGATGATGAAATCGTGTTCTCATTGATGGTGACAGGATGTACTACAAAAGCCCATCTGAACTGGTTTGGGCACCACTGCTTAAATTTAAAAGTATGGCCTCTGGGTTAATCCCAGCATTTCAAAATATGTGGGTTTATTTTTCATAGTATATTAGCTACAATAACTACATATCTTATGTCAAGCATTATAGTGATGGTTTGTAGGTTATGATTTATTTAATCCTTATAAATAACCTCATTTGGTAGGGCTTTATAGATGAGGAAACCGAGGCTGAGAATGTGAATTCAGTTGCCTGAGGTTGCATAGCTAGTAAGTCTTGGAGCCGGGAACTAAGGCCAGGTTTGCTGCCTCCAAAGCACTTACTGACCCCTTCTCCATCTCACTCTCCTCTCCCATTTTAGGAACCTGTATGTTAACTAGGATTTTAACTTAAGCAATATGTTTCATTTACCAAAATAAGCCATTGATTGTTTTTAAGCCAAGACAGAAATGTGGGAAAGGGTGACACACGAGCAGTTGGAAAGCCAAGAATTGGGGTCTTGTAACAGTAGACCCAGCGCTCCCAGCTGCAACGGGGACAGATTGGATCAGCGGTTCCTGAAGTGGGACAGGAGGCTCACCTACGTCAGAGTTCCCTGAGCCACAGCCCCCCACCAGTCAGCCAGCTTTGCAGGTGACTTCCCGCTTTTTAGGTTAAGTTCGAGAAACCCTAGAGAATCTTTTAGGTCGGTCCCTTTGAACTCTTAACAAATGATGCTAACTGTACTTCATCTGTTGAGCTGAATGATACAATTGTGTTTGTTAAAACAGACCTGTGCTGTTTACAGCATAAGCCTTTCCTAGGGCTAAAATGTAATATTTTCTAGGCAGCTATTGGTAGTTGGCGATCCTCTGAAATCACAACAGACTCAGAACTTGATTTTTCTGCAACAGAGAATTTAATTTCCCACATCGTTAATTTCCCCTCTACTGGGTAATTTTCATCAACATACAAGTTTGTTACTTTGCCCCATCTTAAAACATTTTCTTTCTGTCCCCGTGTCCCTTCAGCGATTGTCCCTGTGCACTCCTCCCCTTTGCAGGGAAACTGCTCAGGAGGAGCATTCTGTGCTCCCTGCCCTCTCACTCTCTGGGGCTCACCCCATCAGGCTCTGCCCCCAGCTGCTCTGACCAGGGTTACCTTCCTGACCGAAGCCCGTTGCTCGGTTCAAGCGCCAGCCTCAGCTGTCACATTCAGGCTTTTGTAGCACCGGGCACAGTTGTCCACTTTCTTCTCTGGCTTCCAGGACACCACACTCTGGGATTCTGATGGCCTCTGGGTTACTTCCCACCTGCATATCTAACTTTTGGGGATCACAAGTTCTTTTCACAATCTGGTAATGTCAATGGATCCACTTCCCAGAAAAATGTGTATATATTTATGTTGGCCAAATTTATCATCAGTATTCGTTTTCATCCTTTTTAATTATGGCGACGTCTAGGGAGGTTTGATTCCTTTAAGAGTTAAAGGTTGTAAGCTGAATAGTGTTTCTGATACAGTTTTTGGAAATTCATGTATTTCATCACTTATTCTCTACAGTGATCAAATGATAATGTTAACATTTTCAACTGTTTTATAGGGCATACTTAGATTTCCATGAAAATAAAGTATCATTGCTATGATGTATTGCTGAGTCTTGAAATTAATAGGTCTAAAGACCTATTTTCAATCTCTTGGAAAGCCTGACAGAGGTCATTATGTATAGCAGTATTATTAATATTTCTATTAAATCCTGCTAGAGATGAATAAAATTGCTATAAGACTTGAATATAAATTGTGGCAAAATATTCTGTATTTCTGTAAAATTGTTCCCACTTGCTCTATTTTAGCTCAATGGTTAAGCTGTTAAAATGTATTTAGTTCAAGTTTAAGTTGTCATTTGAAAGATTTTGTACATAATCCTTTTACCCACAAATGTTTTCATTTTTTGTATCCTTATCCAGTTTTTATCTATCTGTAAGTAGGATTCCTCTGTACTTGTATCATGTACAGTTTGGTTCAATTTTTAGAAATCTCAACATTTTGTGATTTTTTTGTAATGCTTAATTTTATTAAGCATTACAGCTAGAATTTTTTAATGAATATCTATCTGGTTTACTTAATAGTTCCTATTCATCTGGGCGTATTTATGGGTTCCAGAGTTTCTAAATTACAAATAAATGCTATCATGCAAAATCTTTGTAAATACAATTTACAACTATAAATACAAAATACGCTTTTGTTTTTATTTTTAAATTATTGCCTGCTGATAGATTCTCAGGAGAATGATTATATAATCCAAAACAAACCCAACCTTGCAATATTGGTGTTAGGATTTTTTCTTAATTTTTTGTGTTTTGTTGAAAGTAGTTTCATTACTTGAGTTTGCATTTCTTTTTTTTTTTTTTCTTTTTTAACAAATTTTTTTTTTAAGACTTTTTTAGTGGGAAAGGGGAATAGTGTTGGAGAATTGGGGGAGGGGAACAGTGTTGGAGAATTGGAGAGGGGCATCAGCCAAGTTGTTCTTCAATCTGCATTGTGGAGGGCACCAGTCGCCATCTGGTTTCCTGTCGCAGCTCGTGGCCTCTTAAGCTGAAGGTGCTATGTGCAATCTTAGTTGCGGGTGGGCGTAGCCACCATCCCATGCGGGAGTTGAACCAGCAGCTTTGCTTGTTAAAAGCGCATGCTCTATCCACTGAACCATCCGGGCGGCAGCTCAGCTCAAGGTGCCAAGTTCAGGTGAGTTGCGGCTGGGTGTAGCCCACCATCGAACAGGCAGTCTTGTTGTTACACCAGCTGAGCTATCCTGCCACCTGTTGACAGCTCAGCTTGGGCGCAGCGTCACTGGTCCATGTGGGAACCGAACTGGCAGCCCTGTTGCTTAGAGCTCGCGCTCTTAAGCCAACTCTTAACCAACTGAGCCACTCGGCTGGCCCGAGTTTGCATTTCTTAATCATTAGCAAGGTAAAACTTTCCCCCATGAAGTTAATACTTCTGTTTACTCTTATATGAATTATCTGTTTCATATTTTTTGTCTGTTTGATCTATTGGGATTTTACATGCTTGCAGAAGCTCACACTCCTTTATGATCAACCATATCAGTTATACTTTTTTAGTATATTATTTTCCCTTTTATGCTGATTTTGATTTTTCAGCACACAGAAAATTTTGAAAACCTTCAGAATATTGTGTTTATTGCTGTTCTTAGCGGATTTTTTTTCTCTTTTTAAAATTGTATAATTGCTTTTATGTGCTGATATATTTGTAAACAAATTTATAAATGCAGATGCTTTGCGTTTGTGGCATAGTGACAGTTTCTAAAGGATTTTTGCATGTGCCATCTTATTTAAATGTCCCCATGGATGATATTTTCTGTGTTCCATTTTTTTCCTTTTCCAGGCACCCAACAGGAGGATCCTTTGTTCGTCCAAACAAAGTAAATTTTGGAGTAGACTTTCTTACTGCAATTAAGAACCGCTATGTGTTAGAAGATGGACCAGAGGAAGATGGAAAAGAGCAAATTGTTACAATTGGAAATAAACTTGTGGAAACGATTGGTTTTGACTCTGTTATCAAACAGCAAAGGTAAGTGGAATTGATCATGGGACGTAGAGCTGACTCTTAACAGTTCTGTCAAGGTTCAGGATTAAGCTCACCTGACTATGGCACTGCTTAGAACTTGCTCTCAAACTGGCCTGTCCTTTCTGCACATGCAGCAAATGGAAATCGGAGGAATCTGAGAATAGAGTCTAGAGGGAAATTAAAATCCTTATTTTAGCTCAGGGTTGTTGGACCTTTCTATATTGGAATTAAAACATTGATTTGCCCATTATTAATATTTACACCATACTATCTTATATTGACTGATTATGACTTTTTTATTTCGTGGTGACATTTCTAGCTGGTTGATGTCAGAAACGGAAACAAACACACGTCTAAATTGGTACCTTTGCCATGCGGCGTGCAGGTGCCACCTTGTGCCCAGTAGTTCCCATCGTGCTTTCAACACGTGCAGAAACCTGGGACCCATCCCACACCTACTGCATCAGAATACCCTGGGCTCTCGCTTTTAAGAAATACCCCAAATTATTATGTAGCGGTCTGAGGGGTTCGAAATAATGCATTTTACAACTGCTGAGCTGGGACAGTCTCTGTTCTCTGAAACCGTGTGCACTGACTCTGTAGAGAGGCTCACCGTTCATTTTAGTGAACTTTCTGCATCAGAGCACGTGGAAGCTGATGTCCATACAGAAGCAGCCACAGGACCCCCAGGTTATGCAAGTTTAGTGACAGTGGATTGGCCCTGACCTGGATGAGACGTCCTACTAGTGACCCCTGGTGGCCACTGTGGAGAGTAGGTTTGCAGCCTCAGCGCAGTCCTGAAGCCTTTTGCTTTCAGCCTCTAAAGTAAAAGCATTAAACGGTGGTTTTTGTTGAAAACAAATTTCTTTGCTATCTTTTCGTTGCTGTTGTTATTAAGATTTAACATGATGCAGAATTTAAAGTGCACATGGGACAGTGTTGAATAATAATTTCTTGAAAGCTCTGCCTTTTAGCATAGATGACCAACATTAGACTCAATAAATCATGCTTTATAAAGTTAGAGTTCTTTATTTTTTCTATTTAAGTTTTTCCATGCAAGTATTTAAATATCTTTTACCCCAAAAGAGGCACTTTTTTTTTTTCTTATTTGTTAATGTCTTTCAGAGAATGCCATGGGCTCTGTGAATATCAACAAATTGTGAACAGATTTTTCTCCCCTCGTTTATGAGCAACTGCGTAACTCATGAGCTTTTCTGGTAAATGACCCTGCTAGAGTGTCATTGTGTTCAGTAATTAGCTGGTGTCTCTCGGAACACACCCAGAGCTGGGCTCAGCTAAGCCGCTTTCCAGCTCTGACACAAGTTACTTGTCATTCGTAAGCCTCAGTTTTCCCATTTATAAAATAATACCTAAGCTGTTAGAGCTGCTGTGAATAACAAATGAGATGGTGCAGAACGGGGGTCATCTTTGTCCGAGATGGAAACCTCTAAGCCACTGAATTCTGTCCTTAATAACACCCAGCTGCTCAGCTTTGCATTTGTAGCACTAAGAAGAAACGTAGAAGAAAGGAATCAAAACCAAATAGAAACCATTATGCGTGATTTCTCTTAGAGATAGCTTTGGCCCTGGGGTGCCGTCTCTGTGTATTGAGACCTGGGTCCCTAAGCTTTGAACCAGCTTTCCTGGCACCGCACCATACTCCCGGGGGCACAGCGGGGTATTTTTAGTTTTGGAGAGAAGCGGTTTTAAAGGTGGTTCTGTTTCATAATATTTTTACAGTTTGTTTCAGTGGTGCCATATCCCTGCAAAGGTGGGCTTTTGGCGGTTGTGGTGATAAAAAACAAATAGTCCTGGAACAGGAAGTGGAGGTGGTGGTGTCCGGTTTCATTTCCGGGCTGGGAAGCTATGTGGTACCCAATAGACACTTGGTTGATAGGACATAAATACTTAAGTAGTTTGGCCCTAGCTACTTCCTAAATGTAATGGTTAGGTATGTATGTATGTATGTATGTATGTATGTATGTATGTATGTATGTATGTATTTACTTATTTATCTACTTATCTACTTATTTTTTATTAGTTTCAGGTGTAAAAAAAAACCAACATAGTGATTAGATATTTATATACCTCACAAAGTGATCACCCCAACAAGTCTATTACCCATCTGACACTGTACACAGTTATTACAATATTATTGACTATATTCCCTTTGCTGTACTTTATATTCTCACGACTATTTTTTTATAGTTGACATTAAATATTTAAATTAGTTTCAGGTGTACAGCATAGTGGTTAGACATTTATATAATTTATGAAGTTATCCCCCTGATACGTCTAGTGCCCACCTGACACTGTACAGTTATTACAATATTATTTACAATATTCCCCATACTGCAGTATATATCCTCATGACTATTACGCAACTACCAATTCTTTTTTTTTTTTTTTTTTTTGGCTGAGCCATCTATTGCCACCTGTTGGCAGCTCAGCGGCTGCTCAGCTCAGGCCAGGACTTGAACCCACACAACTACCAATTCTTACTTCCTAATCCCTTCACCTTTTCCTCCCAGCCCTGGTTAGGTATTTCTTTTGGCCTATGGGCACCATGAAAAAATTGCCGAGACACCAACGGCCCCAGGAATGGAGAAAGATTGGGAGCTTCTGCCCGAGAACTTGGCCGCTGCCTTTTCCCCTAGTGTCTGATGATGGTACCAGCTCATGCCTTGCATTTCATCTTAGTGTTTGACCCAAAGATTGTCAGTTTTATGTTTTTTTACAGATACTTATAAAATAACTTACTTTATGTCAGGCAGTATTCTGAGAATTTTACAAATACTAACTCACTAAATTATAGCATTTAAAAAAACTGTAAAATGCACAACAGAAAATTTACTGTCTTAACCATTTGTAAGTGTACAGCTCTGTGACGTTGATTGAGCACATTCACATTGTTGTGCAATCGTCCCCACCATCCATCTCCAGAGCTTTCTCATCTTCCCACTGAAACTGTCCCCTTTAACTGCTCCCCATCCTCCCTCCCCCAGCCCCTGGCACCCGCCCTCCCACTTTCTGTCTCTATGGACCTGACTACTTTAGGGACCTCACATAAGTGGAATCATGCAGTATTTGTCCTTCTGCGACTTATTTCACTTAACGTAGTGTCCTCAGGGTTCACCCATGTTGTAGCGCGTGTCAGCATCTCCTGCCTCTTTACGGCAGAGTAACATTCCATTGTGTGGATGGACCACATTTTCCCCATCCATCATCCATTGATGGACACTTGGGCTGCTTCCGCCCTTTGGCTAATGTGAGTGATGTGCTATGAACATCATGGCATTTTAAATATGTGGACTCTGCAGCAAAGAGATGTGAACTTGGCTGCGGCTAAAGGAGGTGGTGGAATTGGGATTTGAACCCCGGCAGTCGAGCTGCAGATTCTGTGTGTCAGACACTTAGTCCCTGTACCACGTGGGCTCTTTTAATGAATAGAGCAAACACGTTCTCTGTGCTGAAAAAGTGGCACCTGAGAGTGTCTAGTGAAGCTGGACATCCACACGCTGTCTAGCGTGAGTCCCTGGAGAGACTTTCACGTGTGAGTGCAAGAAGTGTGTGCCAGTGTATACTTCAGCACTGCTGGCAGAATCCCAGTGTCAGCAGAGGAGTAAGTGAGTTAGCCGTGGTCGGTTCAGATGAGCAACAGACTGTAAGGTGTGAACACGAATGTTCTGGGGTATGTGTGTTGATATAGCTAAATGTCACTGCTAGACAATATGCTGTTGAGGAAAAAAATAATTTGCAGGAAGATGTACAGTGGGATACCATTTATGTCATTTCATGGTGTTCAAAAATACTGTAATTGTTGAGGGATATGGAAATGTATAGTAAAACTATGAAGAAATGCTTAAGATAAATAGACACTGAAAGTCGCATTCTGGTTACCTGTGGGCGGGGTGGGGGGGTCATTGAAAGGGACACAGGGACTTCGGTTGTGTTTGTAATTGTAATGTTTTCTCTTTTTTTCCAGTAATGCTTTATTTCTTAAGTTGGGTGGTGGGTACTGGTATTTGCTGTTTTTCGTATCTTGTCATATGCCTGAAATGCTTTTTGATTTTTTTAAAGGGCCAGTGGATAGCATACATGTTGATGTATACATGTGAATTATGTGTTTTTCATGCAGTCAGCTGAGCAAGTTACAAGACATTTCTTTGAGGAACTGTGCGGTAAATTGCGCTGGTGACAAAGGAGGCATTGCCAAAGCATGTCCTAGTATCCTTCTCAGTGATGACTTGCGACTGGAATGTGACTGGGTTGACACTGTGCCAGATGCCGCTGCTGCCCACCCAGTGTCCACTCTCCCCAACTGTCTTCCTAACAGCAGCCCGGTTTCACCTAGGGCGGTCGCTCCCAGGTACATAATTTACCTTCCCAGGCCCCTTGCTTTCAGCTGAGGCAGTGACTCACCCTGGCCAGGGGGGTGTGAAGCGGAAGTTTCGGGGTGGGGCTCCTTAAAAGCAGACACACAGGGCTGGCATCTGCCTCTGCCCTCCAGGCTTGAGCGCAGACAGATCACCCACGCTGGCAGCCGCCTTGGAAGCGTGATGGAAGTGTCCAGTATGAGCTGCGGTGCAGGGAGTAGAGGAGGAGCCAGTGTCCCTGACAGGGTCCTGGGGACACCACATGGCCCTGGGCTGCCATCTGTGAGAAAGGAAACCCTTCCTTTTATTAAGCTTCCTGTTCATGCAACCGAGTGCAGTTTTGTTAAAATACCGCAAAACAGCCTTTTCTCAAGTTTGTGATCTCTTCTCTACCTTCTAAGTGTTTTGGGGGTTTTGTTTCTTTTTCTTTTTTTTTTTTTTGCTATATATTGCTTTTATGTCCACAACTAAAAATACAGGAGATAAGTTTTTAAAAAAATTCCCATTGGCATCGGATAGACTTTCTCTAACTTTAAAAGGTCTTCTCCCAATTCTGTAAGTCTGACTCATTGCTACATAGTAAGTGATGCAAGAGATAGCAGCTTGTAATCAGTTTTCTCTGAATGAAGAGATGGCCGATGAGTAGCTCTCTCCAGCAGAATTTTCTAACCCAACAGCCCACACCGTATGGTGACAGGAATTAGAGCAGAGCTGCCCACCCGTGTGTCTGATCTGTCATCCCCTAGCCTTGGGGTCTATGGGAGCCTGGGGTCTGTGGGCAGCAGCCTGTGACAAGGAGCTCCTAGAGCCTCATTTGAGTCAGGAGCCAGCAAGCTTTTCCTTAGGGAACCAGAGAATAAATACTTCAGGCCTGTGGCCCACCGGCAGACTGAGGCTATCATGTAGATAAATGACCACCTGGAGGGTGACCATTTAACAACGGGAATCATTCTTAGCTCCGCTGCTGCGGTGAGCCAAGCAGCTGGCGGGGATCAGGGATAGCTCTGCTTGCCGGCGGGCTGAGTCACCCCCTTTTTTTTTTTTTAAGATATTTGGGGACTTGGGGGATGGAAACAGCACTAGGGAAATGGGGGGAAGGGGAACAGACAACTTGCTGTCCTTTTGTTCTTCAGTCTAGTTGTGGAGGACGTTGCTTCACTGGCCCAAGTTGGCACCATCATTGTGCTCTTCCCGGGTGAGGCAGATCAGTTGCCGGCTTCTGGACGGCCACTCACTGCGGCTGCTGGCCGCTCACACTGACTGCTGGCTACACATGGTGGCCCATGGCAACCCACTGCAGCAGGCGCTGCAGCCTACGCCGTCGCCGGCGACTCACGGCAGCCCAGCTCCAGGTTGAGCTGTTGTTCAGCATCTTAGCTGTGGAGGGCAGTGTCACTGGCCCTCATATGTGGGATCCGAACTGGGGCCCTCTGGCGTCCCAAGCCAGCTCTTAACCATCGCGCCACTCGGCTGGCCCTGAGTCACCCCTTTTTGTGCATTCCCACTGCCTTCCTCCCCGGCTTCCTAATCTCCTTGTAGAGCTTCCCAAGTTTCCTTTCCAACCAGTCCTGGGGATTGATGCCAACTTTTGATAAAAAGCCACTTCCTCCATGTTTTATCTATGTTTAAAGACGCCCTGTTACATTGGGGTCTAGGGCGAGGCCGGCCTGGGTGTAAATTCACACTCGTGAATCTGCACAAAGCTGCAGGTACTAACTCTGCCCGTTTCCTTCTTCCACGAAAAGGAAAGTAACACGGCTCCTGGCAGAGCGTCTTGATGATGATGATGCCACCTGGGTTCTTTCTCCCTCGCCGGCCACGCCTCCTCAGCCCCCTGTGCAGAGCACTGGGGGTACCAGGCTGGCTGTGGAGCTTGTTTAGACTTCACACGCACTGCCCTGGGGTTAACCACCCTCCCACCCTCTCGTGGACTCGTCTCCAGTCGTGTACTTGATACCCGTGTGGGTGTCCGATGGTCATCTCAAGTTTAACACATGGGGGACTTTAACTCCCTTCACACCTGCTCACCCTCTGGTCCTTCCTCTCCCAGCAAATGGCAGTTCCCGTGGCCCAGGTTGGCAATCTCGGCGTTAGCCTTGGCTTTTCCTCTTTCCTCCCATCTCATCTAAACTCATCGGCAAAGCCCGAGTTCCACTTTCCTGTTAGGGTGCCAAAGCTGTCACTTCTCGTCCCCACTAGTGCTCTGGTCTGGTCCAGGGAAACTCCTGACCCCCTTTCTGCTCTGTCTTCGTTCCTTAGTCTGTTTATTGTGTTAACACAGCAGCTGAGGGACCCTTGAAAGACAAGGTCAGATGGCACCCCTGCGCCCAAGCCCCCGCAGCTCCCATTCCAGACAGGTTAGTAGAGACTGTGATCCGGCCTGGCCCTGCAGCCTCAGTCCCCGCGTCCCAGGTACACCAAGCTTGCTGTCCCTGTCATAGGCCAGCCTTTCTGACCGCAGGGCCTTTGCTTGTATCATTCCCTCTGCCCGGATGGCATTCCCTCATTTCTATTAGTCCCTGCTCAGATATCACTTTAATAGAGAAGGTGGTCTTCTTTGACCCCTTCCTGCTCAGTGCTCTGAGCACGTGTCTGCCTGGCAGCTCTGGGTGCTCGCGTGTTGTGATCGTCTACCCCACTGAGACTGTCGTGTCCACTGCCGTGCTCCGGGCCGCAGTAGGTACCTGTGGAACAGATGAGCCGTTTCCAGACATGTCAGAGTGATGACCCCCTCCTCTGAGGGGTCAGATCCTGCTCCAGGCTTCCTTTGTCACTCTCTCCCCGGGGGTTTTGCTAAGCTGTGCTCCCACTTCATGGTACTGCCACCACTCCCCTCTGGCATTTGGTTCAGGTGCCTTTCTTTTCTACTGTTTTGGTTTTTTTTTTAGATTTTTATTGGGGAATTGGGGAAGAGGAACAGCCAAGTTGTTGTCCTTCAGTCTTTAGTTGTGGAGGGCGCAGCTAGCTCACCTCCATGTCCAGTTGGCATCGGGCCCCCTGTCAGCAGCTCAGGGCAGCTCAGCTCAAGGTGCCGTGTTCAATCTTAGTTGCACGTGGGCATAGCCCACCATCCCATGTGGGAGTGGAACCGGAAACCTTGTTGTTAGGAGCACATGCTCTCACCAGCTGAGCCATCCTGCCACCTGTTGGCAGCTCAGCAGCAGCTCAGCTAGGGCGCAGCTCACTGGCCCATGTGGGAATTGAACCGGCAGCCCTGTTGCTCAGAGCTCACATTCTTAACCAACTGAGCCACTCGACTGGCCCCTTTTGTACTGGTTTTTGCTTCTCTGAATTCCTGTACCAAGGACAGTGGGAGTCACACCAGCTGCCTCCAGTCTGCGGGGAACCTTCTGAATGTCCACGTCGTTCTTAGCACTTTTGAACATTTGTCCAAGCTAACGTGTCATCTCTCCTGGGGACATTACCAGTGCTGTGGGGATGGATTCCTGTGGTGCAGACGATGGTGCCAGAGAAGGATGTGAGGCTGCAGCTGCTTACAGTGCCGGGCAGGGCCTGGGGACACCTTAGTGCTTCAAAAAACACCATCACTGGTTTTCTTTTTTTGTTGTTGATAATGTGAGAATGGTGTGGTGTTGACATTTGGTTCTCATTCCTTTGATTGTAGATGTTTGTCTCAAGTTTGCAGTGTACAAAAATGAGTCTTTTAGTTTCTGAATGAATAGTTCGACTTAGATTTAAAAAGGTAAAAGTAGTATGTGCAGAATAGATGGCATAAAGTGAAAAATTAAAGATCCCATGCTCCAGAATTAAGCAGTAACTACTGTATGTCTTCTGTGAATCTTTCTGAACTACTGTTTCTTAACATGAGCTTTTAGATATTAGAAATGTAGATTTGTCCAGAAACCTGCTGTCTTCATGGGATGAAGTCACAGATATTGCCGATCAGCTCGCACACCTGGAAGTCCTGAATCTCAGGTAGGAACGCTTGGTTGCCTGTCACGTGACCTAACACGCCTCTCTCCTCGCCGTCTCCCAGCATCCCTGTGGGAATGGCTCAGCTGAATTATCGAAGCTTGATTTATTCTTTCATATTCTTTATTACAGGTTTTCAAATGGTCACACAAGGCGATTCATTAACAGGGAATGTGTTTTACTTCTGATTGGGTGGGGGTGGGGAAGGCTGACATACTGAGCGGAAAGATCCTATTTCTGGTGAGCCTGACCATGAAAGGTGGCCCAGCTGGGGGAGCTGGTATTTAACTGGGGATTAAGAGAGGTGACATTGAAAGGGCTTGTTCCTTCTGAAGCTTCTAGCATTTCAGTTGCTTTAGGAATGAGTCATTTCACTGGAATACTGTTTAATTCAGTTCTGATAAGGATTTTTCACTAATCTATGTATTTTACTGATGTCAGTTTTCCAGGCCCTCTCGAATATTTGATTAGTTTTTACCTCAGACCCTAACTTTCCAAGAGCTCAGCCAGGCTTTGCCTTTCCCTCGTGAGCCAGCTTTGTGTCCACAGGTGAGCTGTACCTGGCTCGGCAGGTTCAGTGTAGCAAGTAGTCAGGCCGAAATGAGCTGTGCTCCCAAATAGAGCGAAGGGTGTAGTTTGACCCACAGTGTCTCCTCTTCTGGAAACAAGGGCTAATGTGTGCTAATGGTCTCTCCTTTGAAAATGATGGTCTTGGAGTATTTTGAGATTAGGATCTCGAAGGATCAGTCCATCCTGATGGCAGGAAGGCAGGCTGTTTAGAGAAGCAGAGCTCCAGCCCAGGACCTGGCACCCGGGAGCCTTCCCTGGGGGACGCGTGTTGCCAGGTCCAGAGCCGCACCCTGTGAGGGGGACGCTGACCTTACACGTGCCTGAGCCTTGACTGAGGAACCTCACCCGGCTGCCTTTACCTGTGAAAACCTCTCTGCATGTCAGACACCAGAAAGTTGTATATTGTAAACATCAAAATTTAGATAGTCTTGGCTCACTTTATTTTTAATACGATTTCATTTTAAGGTTGAAACCAACCAGACTCCTCATGTTAAATCCCAAATTGTTGCTTTCAGCAACTGTCTCGGCTGGGCTACTGCACAGCAATAAGCACAGTGTGTCTTCTTTTTCTACAGTGAAAATAAGCTAAGATTTCCCCTGGATTCACCATCTTCGACCGGAACCTTCGCCACGCTGAAGGTTTTAGTTCTTAGCCGAACGGGAATAACATGGGCCGAGGTAATCCTCTTCCTTTGGTTTGTTACCTAGTAATAAGCAATTTTAACTTCTTGGTTTAATTCGGAATTGAAGCACAATCATGGCCCCATTGTAATCAGCCTATTGTCCAGATAATAGGATTGTTGAAACTGCCTCACAGACAGGAATTACAGGACCATCGTAGTGACGTAGAGGTTTGTATCTAGGAATCCCTATTCTCTGGGCTCATTCGGATTTGTTCTGGCGTCTCTCTGCACAGTGCTGCCCATAGTACTGTGCAGTCCACGTGTGCTGAGCTTCTAGAGGCCCGAAAGCTTGAGCGTGTAGCTGCCTGTTTCCCACTCAGGGCAAAGAACAAGCAGCAGGAAGGTTCTCACATCCTTTTGTTTGAAGTTCAGCTTCTAGAATCCACAGTTCATTGTGTGCAGCTGGGTGGAGTCCTGGGTCCCTGGCCCCAGCATTTGGAACTTCTCTCTGCTACTGCTGTTTTATGTCAGGGGTTAACTGACTTCACACACCCAGAATATTCCACGTTCAAACAAGAGCAGGGAGGTCCACCCCCAGCAAGTTGTTCATCTGTGAAATGTCGTGAGGCTCTATCTCCCTTAGCGATGTCACTTGGAACTTGTGTCCTTCCAGTGGCCACAGCCCCGTAACTTCTTTGCTCAGGCTCCTTCCGTGGGTCCCCCTTTCCAGGGTGAGAGTTAGCACTGGAACAGGAAGGGTACGTGGGAATGTGGGTGGTGAGGTGGCCGTAAAGTTCAAGTGAGAAAATTGAGGAGTAGTCATTGAGAAGCTGTGACCAGTTAATATGTTCTTCACAAACCCAGACTGGCATCGAGAATTGGGGAACGGTGTTTAACATGTTTCCTTCCTTTGCTTAAGCAAACCACGTAAGTAACAAGGACGTGCTAAGTCAGTCTCTGCAGTCCACCTCGTGGGAGCCTAGTGTGTTTCCTGCTGTCCCCCCATGAGGTGCTGACACCTGCCTTGGCTTTAGAGTGCCTAAAGTCAGGCTCCGTGTCATTAAAACACATGTCATTAGCATTTTAAGCCATTAGCATTTTAATGTTATCACCCACCTGCCAGCACTCCTGGCCTGAAATGTAATCAATAACGAAATGTCCATCAGGTACTGTTTCTAAAACAGTGACTAAACTGAGCCTGTGGCGGTTATAGGAATAAACACACGCGGCCAGAGTCCCTCCTAAGTGTGTCTCCCTTCTAGGTGCTCCGGTGTGCTGTTGGGTGGCCAGTCCTCGAGGAGCTGTATCTTGAGTCTAACAATATTTCCATTTCAGAAAGGTAAGAAGGGTTGATTTCCATGTGCCTGTCATCTAGTCATGCTGAATAAAATCTCAGTTATATCTCAACTTTTAGAAGGATTTGCAAGTAAAAATTAGAAAAATGCTTATTCAATGCCTTTACAAATTAGAATGTCTACTAAAACTTCACTACTAATTGACAAAAAACCCGTTATGGTGAAAAGCCCCGAATTAAATGTTTTTGAAGACATGAATTTTATTAGTTTTACATAAATGTATTTAACTTCTGTATTTAAATGGAAGTTCTGTAGGATTTGTTATAAGGATTAAATAATCATTTGTAATTAGCACTATCTGCTTAGGGTCTAGGTACCAAAGTAGTTGAAAAGCTTGATCTCTTAATTATGTTGTCCCATCTTCCTCTTTTGATATTATTAAATTACTAAGTAAAGTAAATGTGGGAAAATTTACAACAAATTCTTTTTTTAATTTAAAAAATTTTTTTATTAGCTGAGCCATCCTGCTACCTGTTGGCAGCTCAGTGGCAGCTCAGCTCGGGGCGGGCATCGAACCACTGTTGCTCAGAGCTCAAACTCTTGAGCGAGCTCTTAACCAACTGAGCCACTCGGCCGGCCCAACAAATTCTTAAAGGATTCAAATTAATGATATTTTACCTTACAGAATAATTTATTATACAGGCAAAGGCAGGTTTTTAAAAATTAAAGTTTTTGAGATAATTTTTGATTCACATGCAGTTATTACCCAGTTTCCTCCACTGGTAGCATCTTACAAAGCCGGGTGGGTGCCAGCAGGGCCCTGATATTGGTCCCATAGAGACACAGAAAGTTGCCAGTACAGGGGCCCCTTACGCTGTTGCTCTTTCATAGTTGTACCCACTTGCCTCCCGCCCCCAACCTCTCCTTAACACCAAATGCAGGTATTGTGAGGCAGTATCTTTGAAAACAAGACTGTAAATTCATGTTGAAAAAATTTTATTTCCCACACAGACCGGTTGACACCCTACAGACCCTCAAGCTATTAGACCTTTCCTCTAATCAGCTAATTGACGAAAATCAGCTCTTTCTAATCGCCTATCTGCCCAGGTAATTTGCTCCTAAAATCCCTCTTATAATGAATTTTGAGTGAAGGGCTCATATCCTATCTATACTTTCTCAATGGAAATACAGTAATAATGATGGAATTCCCAAATCGAGGACAAATTTAATTAGGAAATGTTTCTAGTTTAGCGTTTATTTGTGAAGCATGTACAGTGTAGACTGTGTCTGTACAGATAACTGAACAGTGGGTGCCAGTGTTAGAGCGCTTCACTCATTCGACGGGGGAGTCTCTCTCCTCTGAGATGCACCCAGCACAGCAGCAGGCACCCAGAACTGTTCGATGACTGTGGGATCATTAGAACGTAGCTTGAGGAAGAGTCCACTTGGCATTCCCCAAACTGGACTTCAGGGTTTCTAAGCATTTCACTTGGGATGAAACCTGGGGTACAGGAAAAAGTTCAGAAATCGAGTCTGGCTGATAGGCCATGGCATTTGACATTGTTCTGTGAAGTCAAATCGAACACTTGTAATTGCAGATTAGAACAACTAACCCTTTCTGACATTGGGATTTCCTCTCTCCATTTTCCAGATGCTGGAATTGGTATGTAAGGTGATTCGATTCCCTTCCCTTCCCGTCCCCCATTCTTGAGCTATTGCTTTCACTTCTGTGTAACTTAATTCTCCTTTTTCTAGGGTGCAAAACGTCCATGTTTCCTTCCTTGAAGTACCTCGTGCTCAACGACAATCGGATATCACAAGTAAGGGCTCCTTCAGACGTGCCTACTGCCGTATCACCGTTCCCACTCTCATGCCATAGTTTGTAGGTTCCTTCTATTAAACAGTATTTTAAATGGAAAGAGAAAAGCTTCCTCAGAGTGAAGCTCCCCATAGGAACCCCCACCGCTCCTCCTTCAGCAGATGCGGTTTCCTTGGCTTCCATGTAGGGGAGTGAAGGCGGGGTCTTCCCGGTGCCTGCTGGGCGCCTGTGCCTCAGGCCAGAACGAGCCACTTTGCTTTTCTGTTGCTGCTTCAAATAATCTGAAAAACTAGCCTGAAACATGTTTATTTTCTGTGGGGCTGCAGTGGTCCTCTATCAACGAGCTGGATAAGTTGCCAAGTCTGCAGGCCTTGTCGTGCCTGAGAAACCCCCTGACTGAAGGGAGCAAAGCAGAGACCGCGAGGCAGTTCATCATCGCCAGCATCGGTCAGCTGCAGACCCTGAACAGGTGCCAGGTGAGTGCTGGTACCGGGGTTGGCATTGTTTAGACTAGAAAGTAAATGATCAAAAAATGTAAAAAGCAGTGTTTGACTATTGTCAAGGTACCGGATGTGGTCTTCCTCCAAATGGTAAAGTGTCATCCTGTGCGTTTTGTTGACAGTGGTTCTCCTTGACCCTTGGGTGGGTTACACTTACCCAGAAAGCTGCTGCCCGGCCAGACTAACTGCCCCCCGCCCCCCGCCCCCCCAGGCGGGCCGAGCAATACCGGGCACTGCCCTTCTTTTCTGTGAGGGGGACACAGGCAGAAAGAAGACGGGGCCACGGGCTTCTCTAGCCTCTCCTTGTCAGCCACTCTTGTCATAAATGGGGGAGGCGGTGCCCTGCCTGGCCTGCGAGGCCGCTGGCGGGAAAAGTCGGCTCCTCCAGGTGGGCACCTGGGGCTGACCTCAGCTGGGTGACCTCAGGCACCAGGCAGAGTCCAGAGACCAGCTTGTGGGCAAATACTCTCATGAAGAAAAGTGTAAAACTGATTTTTTTTCTTTCTAAACTCCTGAATTCTGTCAATGTTAAAAAGGAAAGGTAAAAATATAATTATCTGTCTGTCTGTTTGATTCTCGGGGTGAGCAGTGGAGGAAGAACAGGTTGCAAAGCACACACACTCATTAGAAAAACGCCTCCATGGACGTGTCTGTATTTCCCACGACAGATCCTCCCGGAGGAGAGGCGGGGAGCTGAGCTTGATTACCGAAAAGCGTTTGGAAACGAGTGGAGAAAGGCGGGGGGCCATCAGGACCCAGCGCAGAACAGACCAAACGAGGAATTCCTTGCAGCGCATCCCAGATACCAGTCACTCTGCCTAAGTGCGCACTGGGTCTTTGGGGGTGGGGGTGTGGGGGGGGAACCTTTTTTGGTCCCCCGGGTGTGGCAGGAGGGCCTGGGGTTGCTTCTCTCCCCGGGCCACTTCGGCAGGTTGGGAGATGATGAGGCGGTTGTCTTTAGAGAGGATGAGTCAGCAGCACCTCTCTGCAGAAGGAACCTGGGGAGAAGAGGGCAGGGGGCAGTGGAGAGCGGGAGAGCTCTTAATCGGAAGTTCTCTTCTCTGAACCCCCCACCCCCCACCCCACCTCAGCACCTCAGGAAGGGCAGGAAAGTGTCTCAACCTGGCTCTAACCTGGGGAACTGAACCAATTCAGAGCATTGAGGATGGAACCCAGGCCCTGGTATTTTTTCAGATGCCAGGGAATTCTAACATCCGTGCAGGGTCTCACGTGCAGGTTTTGCTCAGTGCTGGGTTCCGGGCTCAGACACACTGTGTGCTCCTCCCTGGGCTGGCACTTGGTGTGCCAGCTGCGTCCTCACTCTCTCCAGCTGCTGCGACTTCGTGACTCTGTCCCTGATGTATTGTACCTTCCACTTTGTTTTGACTTCATTATTATTCTAAATTTCACTTTTATGTTATTTTATATTTCCTAATGCGGGGGAACTCACTGCATAAACGCTTCAGGCTGGAACATTATCTTTGAGGAAGAACAGCTGCCTGTGGGAATTGCTTTCAGATTACTCCATTAGCTGGCTCAATTTCCTGGCCACTTTAGGTGAATTCAAAATCACTTGGGGTGGGGGTGGGGGTGGGGGAGGCGCCACCGAAAGCAGCCCTGCAGGGTGGCTCAGTGCTTCACTGAAAGCTGGAAGACAAGCACAGATACTTGGGTTATTTACAGAAATTGTCACCAGCTTTACCAGCAGGAGTGACAGCAGGAGAGTGCTGCCCGCCCGCCTTACACCCTGCTTCCTATGAGGCTGCGTTTCCAGCCGGTGGTGCTCAGCGCCCCGGTGGTGCTCAGCGCCCCGCGCCTGGCACTGCATGAGTCTGAGTCGCTGAAACTGGGTGAAGGTGTCCCGTGAGTGGTGCCCCAGGCAGGGCCAGGTTTCCCTCTCAGGACTTGGAAATGTTCGCAGAGGCGACACTTTGGAGTATTTGACACTCACCTGTGCTTTTCTTTTCTGACAGTGGCCTTTGGTTCATCACTCATCCTTTTTTATTTCTTCTTAAATAGAATACGGTGCACCCGAAGATGGGGAACTCAAAACACAGCAACCATTTTTGCTCAAAAACCAGCTACTAAGTAAGAACCCTGAATTCAAAGACAGCTTATTTGTATTCAAGCCCTTAGGTGATGAAACAGATAGTGATGACCTAATAGGAATTGTTTTTTTTTCTCTTAAATACCTAAATGAGTACTTTGATTTTTTAAAGAAATGATAAATTCTAATATGTCTAAATTCTTTTATTGAACATTTTAGCAATTCCCATCCTGTAAACAAATTTAAGTGTTACAAATGTGGGAAGTATCTGAGCAGTGAACTGAATTGTTATTTGGAGATTGGTGACTTTTCTTACACTTGGAAACCTAGCTAAATTGTCAGGAAAGACGATAGAATATTGGCCCAGCTGTTTAGTTGTAGTAATTCAGTGAAGTATTAATAGAAGGAATTTTAAACACCACTAAGACCTATTCCTTCGTTAGGATTTGAGCCAGTTCTGCTGAGCAGCTGTATCTTTTGGCAGCCCCAATTCACATGCATGTGTAACTTAAGTCCTTATTACAGTAGGTCTCACTTAAGTCTTTTTCCTTTTTCTTTCAAGCACTGAAGATAAAATATGCTAATCAACTTGATGAGAAAGTCATCGAGAAACAGCTGCCAGGTAAGAGGGATGAGTATGTCTTCCCCTCCCTACTCTCACGCATGGCGGCCCAGCTCTGAGCTGGGTGGAAGTGAACTACTGTAGTTCACTCTCCGAAAGTGTGGCCTTTTCAGAGCGTAGAGGTTTTCGGTAGTCTTTTCTAGTCTAATAAATCGATCATGCTACCTTACTCCCCCTAAAAGCTGAAGTCTCCCATCATTGTATACTTGCTTATCTGGACCCTTGTAAGATTGAAAGCCCCCTCCCCCCCAGTACATCTTTCCCCCAAGGCATGAGAGCTGGGTGGCTGAGCCTTTGAGAGCTGGCCCAGCCCACTGCTCAGTTAGAGAAACCGTTAGCCTGGGCTTGATGTCTGTCTGTTCCTCCCTCATACAACAGGAACAGTGTCCTACTGGCTGAACTGTGAGTTACTTGGACGTGTGTGACTTTTCCTACATTCTACTCCCTACTGTCAGGAGTCCCTGCAGAAACTGTTCTTAGACACCCTTTTAACAGACACACTGAAATGGTTTACTTCAAACTTGAAATATTTGTGCTACTGGAATTAAATTAGTTTTATTTGGAAAGTAAATATTTTTGTGTCAACAAAATAGATCAATGTAACTTACCTTAAACTTTCACTCAAAAGAAAAATTACACTGTCTCAGTATCCTGTGAATTCTCAAGATTAAACTAGATTCAGTTAAATACTGAAATGTAAACAGGATAAATTTAGAGCAGTGAGGATGTGAAGAAATAAAATATTACCGTGACTGTAGTAAAATACCTTGTCTTGTCTGCCTGTCAGTGCAGTCAACTCACACTGATTTTTAAATTAGTTTTTATCGAATAAAACAAGCTTATCCTGGTATTGCTTGCGGAAGGCTTTGGTTGTATATTTCTGCTTGATAACCATTTAGTGTCAATTTACCAGTATCACTCCATTTTTCTTTACTAGCAGTCCAATTTCTATGATATATAATTTTGCTGTTATGTAAAGATGAATTAAAATTAGTGGTTCCTCTTTCATTCTGTTTTCAAACTTAAATACCGTCAGTAATGGCACTAAGTGAAGGAAGACCAGAACTTGTTACGGTAATTGGCTTAGGAGGTCTTTGCATTTTTCCTTTTCCTTTCCAGATACATGAAATAAATTTGTGGAAATTGCTGAAGAATGTCATTAGATATGTTAAGCTTTCCTCTGTCAGGGCTTCCTTAGGGGAGGCACTGAGGCCCATCAGTCAGGGACTGTGGGTGCATGTGGGTGTGAACATGGCCCTAGGCTGCTGGCGACCGTGAGTGTCTCCCCTCTCTCCTTCCTTACTGTATCTGACTGTCCCAGGCCTTCTGAGATTGTCACCTGCTGGGACACCCCCTGTGTTTGTGCTCTGAGTTCCATTAGTCTTTAGGTGGAAATAGGAGAGGTTAGAATTATCCAAACATTATATGTAATAGTTGCTGCTTTAAGCTATTCAGAGTCCTGTATTCACTGAACTCAACAGTAAACCAGATTAAAACAGTTCTTAATTTTTATGCCACATGATGTAAATAGCCTTTAAAAAGGAAAATGATAAAGAATATAAAATACTGAAACTTTTTTTGCCCGTCAAACGTGGAGATGGCATCAAAAATCAGTGTATACTTTTTGTCAAGTTGTGTGGTAATTGTTATAAAAAATTTTTTAAATACATATGCTGTGACCACGCATTTACCGGGGGAAATGGCTGACTATTCTGGTGGAAGCACACGCTGCCCCTATCGTGTTTCATGAAAGAATGAAGTGGGTCTAGAGCTGCGCTGTCCAGTGTGGCTGCCACTAGCCATGTGCGGCGATTCCAGTTCATTAAACTGAAACAACTTCCGTTCCTTCGTTACACCACATTTCAGGTGCTCTGTAGCCACATGCAGCTGCCATACTGGACAGACCAGGCCTAGAGGAACCGGCATGAAAAGTGTACACCTCTATAATAAAGAAATACAAGTTGCAGACCAATATATTGGGTTGTCAGAAAAGTCATGAAGCATTTTGCAACGAAAAACATAGAAAAAAATATGTCATGACTATTCCGACAACCCAGTAATTACAAAACCTTATAGAAACAAAAAAGCTTGGAAGCATACCCATCAAACTTTCCACACTGGTCATAGGGAGGCAAAAAGATAATTACCCATCTCTGCATTTTATCATGTGTTACTCTGTATTAAAAACCGTAACATTATTTAGATTATTACATGCAGATTCCCACTTTCTTCTATAGACCCAGTAGAGGCAGGCAGATTTCTGATGAGAACTGTTTTATGACCAAACTTTTCGTTTCTGGCATGGCTTAGGAATGTGGCATTTCCCCTTGTCGTGCAGGAGTTAACCCGTCACTGACTAGCCTCCCAACAATAAAAGTCCAGCTAAATCTGAAAGAGCATGATTACCTATCACCTATTCACACGTAACAGCAAATGAAGCTACTTAAAATTACAAATGTCTATTAAGTGTCTATCTTCAATAAACTTAAGGCCATTTTTTATTCTAAAATAAAGATAACATTTATTATCACAAGTTGCATAAAAACAGACAGCCTTTACAAAAAGGATTTTTGATAGAAAAATACTGTTTGAATACATGTGATATTTGTAGGAACACCACAATGTCGCTGTATCTCCAGCTAAAGCTTCAAAGAAACTATATTTCTCATAATCAAAATAGCCAATATTTACCACATACCCATCTTTGGAAAAAAGTTCATAGTGTTTCCTGAACAAACCAAAACATTGACTAAGTTACATTCCCATGCCTGGTGGTCACCAGTACACGTGGTCAAACAGTCACACAGTATAGTAACTACAGACGGGTTAGGGACCTTGTAGATCGTTTCGTCACCCCTCACTTTACAGAGGAGGAAATCAAGGCCAGAGGGCTTGAGAGCCCCACTCCAACAGTCTTTCAGTTAATTCATAAGTAATCACAAAGACTGTAACAGAAAAGTTAATGCTTTTACTCACATTTATTCCTCTGTGCAGAGAATATGATTTCTGGTTTATTTGGATTAGACACCACTAAAATGGTATGAAAGCTCACTGTCAAAGGGCACTTCGGTCAAACACTGCTCCACTTCCCCCAGCTCCGCAAATGACTCAGGAAGTGCTGTGACAGCGTGTCCTGTGCAATCAGCACAGCTTTCCCTAATCGTTTACTCGGGTAAATTGACACTGTCATTGCAATTGTGGTCTTGTCATGTGAGCTAGTTACAGGTAACTGTCATTGCAGAGAACTGATGGTTTTTCCTTTTGACAGATTCCATGACAATTCAAAAGGTGAAAGGACTGCTGTCACGTCTTCTCAAAGTTCCTGTGTCAGACCTTCTGTTGTCCTATGAAAGTCCCAAAGTAAGTTGCCCAGCAAAACACAGGCAAGCTTAGTTCCCCACAGTGTGACATGCTGTTAAACTAAGTCTCCATTTAACACTGATTCTAAATGGAGACCACAGACCTGTTTGGGGGTATGGGGTGTATATAACATGCTTTGTTGGATCTGTCTTAATCACCCCTCCCCAACACTTTGTTCTAATTTTAGATGCCGGGCAGAGAGATTGAACTAGAAAATGGCCAACAGTCATTACAGTTTTATTCTGTGGAAAATGGAGATTGTCTGTTAGTACGATGGTAACAGCCAACTAATAAAACTCAGAGACTAGACTTCTTATCGTGACTGGGTTCATTGGAAATGAATGATTTATTGGACCAATTCTACTCTCAAAAAAAAAAAAGCTTTTATAACTTTCCCTAAGTATAGAAGAGAGCGTACTTTTCATTGGAAATGTGACCATTTCTAGGCTTGTATATAATAGCAATAAAGGCTTTGCACCTACTGATGATTTTATTTCATATTTATTTTATAGTTTATGACTGCACTTCATTGTGTGAAGATTTTAATATCAAATAGAATATAGCTAGTCTAATAAAATCTGAACACAGTTAATGTCTGTCATAAGACCAGTTTTAATGGAATTCTCTATCGATACTACTAGTTTAAAAGTTACTAAAATGATTTGGTAAAATGGTTGGTCATTGGGGAAATGTCCCTTAAATTTAGGGAGGCACACCCCTTACTATGTATGACATATATGTTATGATCTCGCTTTTCAACTGCACTATTTTTAGAGTACTTACAAAAATTAATTACATGCTTTTCCCTACAATTATACCTAAAAGATTACCAGCTCTGACTGAAATTCACTTACATTAGGCAATGACAGGAGGAAAGCAAAATTCTTCCAAAGTGTCAGGTATTTAGAAATGTCTTTCCCCATGGTACCAAAACCCTGAGAGGTATCTAATTTTACTTATATTCACAAAAATTTAGTTTTTTGTTTTTTTTTTTTTACAGAAGTACTAACCTTCAGAATTTATGTGTAATGGCAAAAGAAAACTTGTGTTAGTCCACTTAATAATGAACTTCAAAATCAAGGTCCAGAACTGAGAATTAAATTGGTTCTTTTTCAAGTTTAAGTCGCCCACTTCATTCAGACACCCACAGAATCTTAACATTATTTCCAGAAACCCCAAACTTTGGTATAAGTTTGCTCATAAATGATCACACAGCATTTCTGTGAGTTGTTTTTGGCCCATATTCATCATCCTAATTAGGCTACACGGAGCTATTCTGCAATCCGGGCTGAAATTCCAACTCTCAGTTACTAAAGATCTCTGAACAGGCCAAGTTTTAACCAAAAATGATAGGTAATGAATTACCTATCAGGATTTAGAAATATTATTTTATAAACTATTTGGTATTTTTCAAATCTTCCAATATATAAATAAAATTTTTATTATGCTACAGTATCAGTTGATTTCTAAATAGGAAAATTTGTGCAAACATTAATACCACATTGGATACAGAAGTGCCAGCCTAGGACTTGGCTCCTGAAGGGTCACATAATCACTGCCACACCTTGGCTGTCCTCAGACTCACACCCTGATCTTCAAACACTGCGACTTAAGTCACCATCATCTTGCTTCACACTGACAGGGGTCACCACACAGCTCCTTCAGTTTCCACAGCTCTGTCAGCTCCTGTGCGGAATACTGCGGGGAAGACAGCATCCCTGGCTCACAACTCTTCTCACACAGCCACAGGCTGTCCTGTTGAGAAACAGAACAAAAGCTGATTGGGGAGCTGTGACGTGAAACTGCTTGAAGACAAAGCAGGCACGTGGGTGCTTCTATCCCAGGGAAGCTGAAGTTACCGGCAAGACAACTCGGTGTGGGAACCCACTTGGCGCATGTTGGGGAAAGTGCCACGTCCAGCGACCCTGTGGCCATGGAACACAGAAACAGGCAGCGTGTGTGTTGAGAGCAAAGGGAGTTCTACGAAGACAAGGTCTGGAAACCACAAACGGGAAGGTCTATGTTTGCTATTATAGGAAAGGTGGCTACACAGCATTGTGACTAACAGCAGCTCTTCTGATGGAACGCTTCCAAGATCTGGGGACTGTGTCAAGTGCTTCATAAGTGTTATCTAATTCTCTATAACCCTGTGAGGTAGGAATTATTTCCTGAGAGCGAAGTTCCCTGCTTGAGGTCGCAGGAGGGTAATGTAGGGAAACTGAGGCTGAGTAGGGAGGATTAAAAGGGGGCCTGTCCGACTCCCGAGCACGGGTCCTTAACCATCAGCCCACCTCCCAGCTCCATGGAATCGCTTCTGTTCCCGGCAAGAGAGCAAAATACAGACCCAGAGAAACCAACCAGAGAACATAAACATGCTGGATACAACCCCAAACATCTTTGGAAAGCACGGTTGAACTGGTAGAGAAGCTGGAGAGTAGAATGTGCTGGAATCGGCGTGGGCCTTGAAGGCTCTGCTGGGTTTGAAAAGGCCTTGCCCAGGTCCAGGAGACTGACCAGAGACTGCCCCAGCCAGCCTGGACCCCCGAGGGGCGAGAGCCTGGGGGTGTTCAGAAAACCAAGCTGGGGAGGAGGCCTGTCTGTCTCGGCCTTGACCCTGGGTCTCCCGAGCATGGAACCACAGCCTGCACTCAGGTGGGGACTCGCCTGGAGTCACATTCTGTAGAGCCCCACAAGCCCCAAGTCAGAAATGTAAAGTGCTCGTGGACGGTGACGCCCTTAGGTGCGTGGCAGAAAAGATGTCAATCCTCTCTGTGGAATGCGTTTTAATACAGATCCCCTTTCCAAGGGACATGAGGTCACAACAAAGAAAGTCTTTAAACATATCAGGAGACAAGCTCCATCCACAGCAACAGTGTGCAGAACCCACAAACTAAAGAATCAGACCTGCCGAGACCACACACCAGAATGCGCCAATTCAGAAAGAGTTCTGTTCAAGTGAAATAACGTCAGCGGCAGGACTGAAAGTACGACAAAAACGGAACTATCACAGCTGATGCGTAGATGGGGTTGGTTTCTGTTCCCCCCTGGAGTGGGGGTGCACGCTGGGCCCCAGGTGCTATGCAGGGCTCCTTCTGTCCCTTGCACCTTCTGTGACCAAAATGGAAGCTGCAAGAATCTAGAATTCAACAGAAATCTCTGCCTGCTTTCTTCCCAGTGCTCTATTTTCCATTTCTGGTCCATGCAGATTCATTATTTTTCTAGCTCAGTGGTGAGCATATTTTAAAACACCTCACCATATTTTATCCACCATTTTATCTGCATCAGTCAGAAGGGTGAAGGGTCCTTGGACCACCCACCAGACTGCTGCAAACTTAAGTCAAAACATTTCTTTGTGGTTTAGACTCAGAAAAATACTGTATGAGAACCTAGGTGGATTACGTGAAGTAAATCAAGAGCAGTTATGAAGCGAGAAGATCTTCACTGTCCCTTCCTCAACCCTCCAGAACCCTGAGGCCGGCCCCACTCGGACCTGCTTACCTGGTATCTTTTGGGTCCTATGGCTGCCATCCAAATGCCCATGCTTACATCTTCACCCTATGCACGCACCAGAAGGTTTCAATGCAAAAGTTTAAATGCTATACCATCTGTAAAGACAGTGCCACACCCGTTCCCTTAATAAATTGTTTCTTTGCCTCTTTGTTTTGTAATTTTAAGATGAAATCCAAGCATGTGTTAACATGGACACAGCGCAGAAGCTAGTGGCTTTAACATGAACACCACACACCCTACAAACATGGCCTGTCCAGCGTCCCATGGACCTTAGGCCTCTAGCACAAATACATGAAACGCACTGGGTCTAAGAACAAGGCGGAGCTGCTCCCTGATACGGTGCCCAGAATCAGCAAAAAGAAAGCGCTTGCTTTTCATCTTCCCTCTTCAGAATATAAATCTTTACACACCTCCAGGGACTAGTAAATACAGGCTGAAAGATAGTAAGTAGGCTCACAAAAGGGTTTAGGAGTCGAATTTAGAGCTGATTTGAGGGATGGCGGTCCCGAATTTCTAAAGTAATTCCTCTATAGGAGTAACAGGGTCCTCCCCACGGGAAGCTGGCCCTGCTTTCAGGGACGGGATTCTGGGTGGGATGGGTGTACTCTGAGGTCAGGAATCCGCAGTCACCTGATAGGTCTTTAACCTCCTCGCGTTGCTGGCCAGCCACTGGACAATGTCCCTGGAGACCACATATCCTGACCCGCATGCAAAGGCAGGGTAAGCAGGGCTGGGGTACTCCAGCTCCTGCCACTTTCCGGTTCGGTCAACTGCCCAATTCAACCTGAAACTGAGATTCAAAATCAGTTGGCTTTTTTGTGTTCGTCTGACACATCCCACCACTGTTAAGCTTGCCTCCTTCATTATCACTACAAAGGATAAGCTGTAGAAGCAAGGAAAGATGAATGAGAAAAATTTTTTTTTTAGTCTAAGGAAAGGAATTATTTAGTGGGTGTTTTGTTTTATTTTAATTTTTTATTGTGAAATACACATTTTTTAGAATTAGTTTCAGCTGTACAACACAGTGCAATAGTTATACTTTTTACCCCTCAAGGTGAAAAAATATGGAACGCGTCACGAATTTGCGTGTCATCCTTGCGCAGGGGCTATACTAATCTTCTCTGTATCGTCCCAATTTTAGTATATGTGCTACTGACTGAAGCGAGCACTAGTGGGTGTTTTATATAAAAGACCAGTACATCAAATTCTCTCAAAGTTGCATTTGTGGAGTTTTGGAATGGAAAGGTACCATATCATCTTGTGTATATATGCTAAAAAAAAAATTCACTAATCCATACTGTATTCCTGAAGAAACACAGTTTCAGAAATGTGTCACAAGTTCATCCTGACACATAACACACAGCGGCTTCTAATCTGAGCAGCACTCATTTCTCGGGCGTGAGGAGAAAGCCACGTCATCTTCCCTCCTACGTTACCCCAGGTTTTCCATTTTAAAAAGTTTCCCATCACCCAACCGTACATTAATAAACTACAGTGACCAGAAGCCTCACGGAAATGGCCCATCTCAACATTTTTCTTGTGAAAAATGACATGTATGTGTCCTTCTAAATTAATTACCTTTGCTCAGACAGATGAGTGCCAAGGGGCTAACAACGTTTAACTTACTTTCCCCACCAAAAATTAGGTCCATCTAGGTTCTTGTGGGCAATTCTGTTAAATACAGCTTCTAGGTCTATGTAACAGTCGTCATCTGTCTTTAGCAATAAATCAAAGCTGGTTGTTTCCACGGTCCTGTTGGCAAAAAAGGGAAATGAACATTGGTGCCTCCATACAAGGAAACAAAACAACGCCAGTGTGGTCACATTGCCAACATTTTAATTAAAAACTGACCCTCTGTTACTTGTACCCTTTTCATTCTCTTACTCCTCCAGTGTTGAGAACATTTGATCTAACAGAACGCTGCTGCCATCAACTAACTACAAACATCACTTGAGATTCACTATGTGGCCTAACAGAGAAGGACCAAACTGATTTGAAAAGGTGCAAAGGAAATAGGACACACAAAAACGACGTGGTTTACGTGGAACACAGGATCAAACATGCTTCGCAGGCATTGCTCAAACCAGGCTGCTGAATCAATTAAGCATTTGAGCCCCACCCCTTGTGTTCTAATTAAGAGGCCCAGGATGAGGGGACAGGTGTCACACCTGGTCTCTGACACAGAACACTGATGTACAACAAGTAGCAACAATATGCTATTTCTATTACACTCAGCTATTTTATGATTTAAAAAAACAGCTATAACACTGAAATACATTTTCCCTTGGAAATGATTTCCAG